TTCCCCAGTTTGGGTTTTCTTTATTGATTCTACTTTCATTTTCAGGTCTTTGGTGGTTTAATTTATTTTCTTCTACTGTTTGTCTGTATTTTCATGGATTATTTGGAGGGATGTATTTGTTTTCTTTATAAGGACCTCTATCATACTCATAAAGCCTGATTTATGGTCTTTTTCTTGTGCGTCAGCTATGTTGGAATATTCAGGGCCTGTTCTGGTAGGGTTGCTGGGCTCTCCAGGTGGCATGTCCTGGCTGTTGTTATTTTTTTTTTTTTTTTTTTTACACTGGTGTCTAGGCATCTGGGATCAGAAAATTTTGTGGCTATACATCCTGTAGGAAAACCTTCTGTGGTCCTTATAGGTGTGAGCACTGGCAGTTCCAGGTAAAATGTGTTTTTCAGTATTGGGACCTCAGATTTAGGACTGGGGATGTACTTCTCATGAGGAAGTCAGGCTGTTCCATCAGCATCTGCTTAGTTAGTCCCCTGGAAAGGGAGCACGGAATAAGGAGAGACCCCAGAAGGTCTGCTGGGGATGAGATTGGGGGCTTAGACTTGGAAGAATGGAGAGGTAAAGATCTGCAGTCAATTTACCTGCTTCACTGCCAGGAGTGGCTGAGTGGTTCCCAGGGAGTTTCTGCTGGAGTTGAGTGCTGGGACAATGAGTTGGGAGGATATTTGGAGGGGAATGTCTGTGTGATCCACTGGAGATGGGTGCAGGCGGAGAAGGGAGTCTGCAGCAGGTATTCTGCTACAGGACTGGCAATGGGACTGGGGGATTGGACTTGATGGAGCAGAGGGAATGGTGAAAATCTGCAAGTAGCCTGCCTACTTCCCTGTCCAGAATAAGTATTTTAAAGTTATGGGCCTATTATTCACTGACTTGACTTACAATGGTTCAACTTGTAGGTTTTTTTTTTTTTAAACCTTGTAAGCTTAGTTGTTTGTAAATGGTTATAAATACCCTTTCAATGTACTTTATCTAACCCCTTTTAAATGTATTTACAGAATATATCATTTTACTGTTCTTTGTTTACAGCTCTTTATTTACACAACAGTAACCCTATGGGACATCTAATATGGTAAGTTTTCTGATTTGGATATTCATAATTCCTTCTTTCAGTATTGAGTTTATCACTATCTTTTTTTTCATTGTTCAGTTATTTAGTAAATGTAATGAGATGTTAGATAAAATAATGGCTGGTTCCACATATTTGTGAGTGGACCAAGAAGGCCAACACTGGAAGCAAAATCACTCATTACTTGGAGTATCAACACTACTCATACTTGGAGTGTTCATTTGCACATCAGAGCACGTAAATTCAAATTAGTAGAAGACCTTTATGTTGGATATGCTGTGGGTTGAATGTATTGTCTCAATATTCATTGTGGAAACTCAGTCTGTAATAGGATAGTATTTGGAGATGGTAAGTGTGGAAGGCAATTAATGCTAGATGAAATTATGAAGGTAAAAATTTCAGACAAGAGATAGTAGAATGCATACATTCCAACATACATACACACACACTAAAAACAAAACAAAAAAAGCCTAATTGAACATTTTTTATCCCCTGCTAAAGAAAGCAGTGTTCATAAGTCCTAAGAAAATTTTCATAGACAGTTTTATAAGTTTCAAGAGACATTTCATAGATGTGATGGGAGTAGGAAGTATGTGTGATGGGTTCTTGTGTTCAATTTGATATGAATGTCAAACTCCTGCCACTGCAGCAAAAACAAACAAACAAAAAAATAAACACTAACAAAGCCAGGCATGGTGTGGCCTGGGAATTTAATCCTAGCACTCCGGAGGCAGAGACAGGCAGATTTCTGTTAGTTTGAGGCTAGCCTTGGCTTCATACGGAGTTGCAGGACAGCTAGCAATGTTGTGACACCCTGTCTTTAGTAGGCAACCCTTAATATTTAAACATCAGTGCAAAATAAGAAAATAGGAGCCAGAGAGAATGCTTTTTTGATAAAGTGCTCAGTTCCAAGGGCTGTCCTTGTTTGTGTTGGTAAAATGGCTCAGGCACTTGCTGTAGAGCCTGACAATCTGTGTTTAAGTCACAGAAGCCACAAGGTCGAAGGGGAGAACCAATCCCCATAGGTTGTTCTCTGACCTGCACACTTGCACATTGAATACAAGTGCACACGTGCACACCATAAATAAATGGGGGGAAAAATTAAAGCTAGGCATAGTTGTTAGTATTCAGGCATCTGTACTGACCTGTCCTTGGGGTTCTGACAGGATAGGTCCTCAGCTGCAGCCACTAAGAGCATCACCTGTGCATATTCTCTATGTTCGATTTTAAAAGGGCCCTGTCCTCCTACCCTCTTCTCTTTCTCTCTCTTCCTCCCTCCCCCTTCCCTCCTGATGCTCCTGTCCTTGGAGGCCAGTCTCCCACCTCTCCTTTTTATGACCCCTTTCCCTAATTAAAAACAAACAAACAAACAAACAAACAAACAAACCCTCTGCTTGAATCCTGTCACATGGTGTCTCTCAGGAGCTCCTTTTCTTAAATTACAACAGTAGTGGAATATGACTTCAACTGCAGCATTCAGGAGGAAGAGAGTTAGAGGACAGCTTGGTCCAGATAGTGAGTTCCAAGACAGCCAGAGCTACTTAGACTCAGTCTCAAAAAATAAAAATAAAATAAAGAAAAGTGGATGTGATTATTTTATTTTATTTTTTGAGATTCATTTTTTCTATTTTATGTGTAGGGGTGTTTTGTTTGCATGTATGTCTGAGCCTGAAGAGGTAGTCGGATCCCCTGGAACTGGAGTTACAGACAATTGTTAGCCACATGTGGATGCTGGGAATGGAAACCAGGTCCTTTGCAAACACAAGCAGTTCTCTTAACCATTAAGCCATCTCTCCAGTCCTAGGTGTGATTATTATTTTATGTTTTCACAACTGAGGTTTTATTGGTTGAGGAGAAGAGTACACAGACATTTCGATTCTTAACACATATACCCCAAAGAGCCTTGTGTTGTTTGTCTTTGAAATTATTCCAGGGGTGTGATTATTTATTTTAGATAATCTCAGTCATGGGGAAGCAAAATCAGATGAATCCTGGAGCTCACTGACCACTGAGCATACTCCCTTGTCTATCTTTTCTCCTCATTGACCTTGAAGGCACACTTAATCCCAGAACTGGGAACTGAAGAAAAGAAGACCAGCAGTTCAAGGCTAAGCTATATAGGGGACTTGAAAACAGCGTACCAGACTTAGTCTCAACCAAAAAGAAAAAAAAAAAAAAAAAAGAAAGAAAGAAAAGAAAAAAAGAAAGGAGTTGGAGACTGTGATACCCACCTATAATCCCATCACTTGGAAAGCAGACACAGGAGAGCCTCAAGCTTTGGGGCAGCCTGGGATACATGGAGAGATCCAGGACAACCTATATTTCATACTAAGAATCTGAAAAAAGCCAAATCATTCAAACCTAAATAATTTAAATCAAAGAAAAACTAGGAGAAAGTATTTCATTAGATTCCTAAGGATGCTTTTGTATTCCCTACCTCATTCTCAATTTAAATAAATGAGAATATATTTGTGATAACACAAAAATCATATATCCATTTTTTGGGGGTGGTAGGGAGATAAAGAAAAAAATAAGGAGTAAGATACAAACATTGACTGCTCTCAAAATAGCTACATTCAAAACACTGGCCTGTTTGCTGATAGAAGTTTAGACATATAAAGGGATACACTAAACAGAATTTCCCACTGCAATAATAAGATAAGCATTTCCACCACTATTAAAATATCCTTGAAATTGTGATTTATGGAATTACATTTTATATTCCAATGTAAATATCGTGTAACAATTGTTTCTATAAAATTTGCCCAGCTGTGAATTTCAGATAATGTCCACAATTAATTATTTTGAAATAAGGTTTTGCTCTGTAGCTCTGGTTGTCCTAGAACTCACTATGTAGACCAGGCTAGACTCGAACACGAAAAGATCTACCTGTCTCTGCCTCCTGAGTGCTGGGATGAAAAGCGACCATGCCCCATTAAGATAATGTTCACAGCTTTATTACTTGTAATCAACATCTTATATCTAGCAACTTCTTTCCTATATCACTATACATTCTGCACACTTTAACACCTTGGAGTCCAGGAGCAAGAACTCTAAGCAATAAACACCCCAACCCCACTGGGTTTTCCTGTGTATCGAGGGCTGTCCTGGCACTTGCTCAGTAGACCAGGCTGTCCTTGAACTCACAGATATCCGCCTGCCTCTGCCTCCTGAGTGCTGGGATTAAAGGTGTGCCACCACTGTCTGACCTGAAATAAACATCGCTATACAAAAGGGTCAACATCAAAAGCAATAGGAACCTTGTGGGGCAAACTAACCACCATTACCCCAAAGTAAAGCCAGTTATCAATTGATCATCAAGCTGCATCTTGGAGCATGTGTGATCATTTCACAGGAAACCAAAAATTTGTTTTAAATATTATTTTAGGAGAGATCAATATTGTAAGAGTAAAGGAAAGTCATTAAATATTTGGGTGTTCCCTTGGATGTAGAAGAGCTGGGCGATTAGCTCAGTAGTACAGTCCATGTCTACCATGTACAAATAATTGTTCAACCCCTAATAATACCGATGATGATGATAAGCAGACCTGTAATTCCAAGACTCAGAAGCTAGAGGCAGGAGAATCAGGCATTCAAGGATTATAGTTGGCTACATGGAAACTAGTCTGGGCTATATGAGAATGTCTTTCAAAACAAAAATGGGACGGGCGGTGGCACATGCCTTTATCCCAGCACTCAGGAGGCAGGGGCAGGAGGATCTCTGTGAGCTCTGTACTACAGAGCGAATTCCAGGATAGCCAGGCACAGAACTGTCTCAAAAAAAAACCACACACACACACAAACAAAAACCCAAGCAAAACCAAAACGGAGACGTAGAATTCATTTCTGCCAAGTGAGGCAATTACGGGACCCCTTTATACCTCACCAGCAAACACTTTCCCTCACTCCCTTGTGTCCTCAGTGTTTGCACACATTCAAGATGGTGGTGGATCAAGACAGCGAAACAGGTCAGCTCTCCTACAATGGGCGCGGGCGCCGGCTGCGCAGGCGCACTCCAGCTTCCCTCGCCGACCTTGGCGGAGCGCGCCTGCGCAGTGGGGAGCAGTTCGTGGCTAGCTTGTGGGCCGGCTGCAGTCTCGGCGTGAAGGCGGCCAGAGCCGCTGTCTCGACTAAGATGAGGCTCCTGCTGCTTCTCCTGGTGGCGGCGTCGGCGTTGGTCCGCAGCGAGGCCTCTGCCAACCTGGGCGGCGTGCCCAGCAAGAGATTAAAGATGCAGTACGCCACGGGGCCGCTGCTCAAGTTCCAGATTTGGTGAGTATGTGCGTCGACCCCCGGCCGCCCTGCCTGCCCCGGCTTCGCGGCCTAGCCGGCTGCTCCGTGCCTGACGGGAGAGCGGCCACCGGCGCCCTTCCTTCCGCATGGGCGGCCGGGGATCGGGGCGCTTCCGCAGGCCGCTTCTGCCCTCCGGGCACTGCCCGTGGTCCCCGACAGCCTCCGGAGAGCTGCAGGCCTTCCCGAGGCGTCACTGCGCCTGGGCGGCAGCGCTCCGAGGATGCGAGGTGGAGCCCGCCGCTCGCAGAAACCGCGGCTCGGCTCCGCGGCTCCCGCACGCCTCCCGGGCATCTCTCACTTTTAAAGGTCTTGGGCATTTATAGAAGGAAAAGGAAGGGAAGCAGTCCGTTTTCGACGCCACCTTGTAATTGACTTTGTTGTCAGAAGCAGGACAGGCATCCATCTTACTAAGGTGACAAGGGTTGGGGAAGCTTTGAAAAGCTCCGATTTAAAAAACAAACAAAAAAATCACAAGGCTGGAAGAAAGCGAAACCTAAAAAGATGGTGTTTCCCTGGGATGGGATGTCAGATTAGTAATTCTTTTCAGAGTCTCGATACTTTGCAGTATTGTTATTGGCCAGAATGCATTTAAAGCCGATTTTTAAAAACGTGTGCCAATTAATCTTAAGTTTAGGTTTTTATTTCATCCTTTTGTTTAATCACTGAAGACAAAGCAAACATTTAAAAAAGGCCAGTTTCTAACATTTAAACCAGAAAATGAGACCGGGGCGGGGGCTTTAAGTTTGGTGTGCAAATTTGGTGATTTTTTTTTTTTTCTGGTTACAAACAAAATTCTCTGCAAACTTTACCATGTGCCGGTATTTATCACATCACAGATAACTGCTATTCCACTGATCTACCCCCACAGCCCCTTATACTTTTTTTTTTCTTTTTTTAAGAAAGTGGTAGCTGTTTTACTAGCTGACAAAGATGGCTGATGATTAAGCGTTGTAGTTGGGATTTGATTAGGTATTAAAAGACTGAAGTTTTCAACTCAAATGTAGTATTTCTGTCTTATTTGAACTCATGCTTTTTCAAAGTACTTTTTGTGTGTCCCTTTGCTTACACTGAAATTCTTTAATATATGTGTGTATATTGTCTGTGTGTGTCACACTGCCCATGGAAAAAATCAGAGGACAATTTGCAAGCCTCGGTTCTCTCCTTCCACTATGTTTGCCTGGGGCATTGAACTCAGGTCCAGTTTCCATATCTCTCTAATACTGTATTTGGATTCTTGTTTCAGCTTCACTATACACATTCCCTCTAAGATTTCTAAAGGAATGAACATAGCATGGTGACAACCATAATCTCAACAGAGTCAGGAAGATCAAATATTCAAGATCATCCTGGCTACATGGATCAAAGCCAACTTGAGCTACCCCACTCCCAGCCAAAACACAAAATGACCCCCCCCCCAAAAACAAAACAAAACAAAGCAAAAAACAAGTGGAAGGAATGGCAAGCAGGCATTAAAGCTTTTTAAAAACCTCATAACTGCTTTAGTTGGAATTTTGATGATTAGTTTTTTTTCCCTTGTAATTTAGGTTCAGGCTTGTTTAAAATGTCATCTGTTTTGTAGTCATTATAAGTCCTTTGTTGTCTTAGAATATATACATCAGAAATAGCTTTACTATAATACCCTACCAAGTTGTTAAATTTAGCTTTCTGCTCTTCCTTTAGAGATTAATCTATTCATAATAAATGAATATTAGGCTTCTGGTTTTGACCCTTTTAAAACATTTACTTGTAAGTTTGTGAAGGGAGAAGAAACTAATACAACTGAGCGTAAACACATGAAAAATAACCTTAAATTTTATTTGAAATTTCAGTGCCATAAAACTTTTTTCTATTTAACTGTTCTAAAGTTCAATTCAATTGACTTTTGTGTTTTATACTTATTGTAAGTACTTTTTCATAAATAGTCATAGCTCAACATTGCCTGCCTTCTGGTGTTACCACTTTTGCAGTTGCTTGTAGAACAAACAGCAACACAATGCATAAAGGAACTGAATTTGAAAGAGAGGAAGCTTCTGACCAAGTTTTATGCTCTTGTGCCTTTCCAACAACTGTTCATTCAGTATTTGCTGTGTCAGTTGCTTAAGATTTCACAGTGCACCAGACAGGGCCACCAGGAAACTTCCCCCAAATGGTACCATGTTGTTCTCTGTATCTGAGTCCTGATGTATCTCTGTATTGGTTTGTTATGTTATTGAGTAGTAAAGTCTCAATGATTTTATACTGAGGACTTTAAATATTGGATATTTAAATAGTAAATATTCAAGAGGCAGTTCTCTAGTTAGACCTTGGCCTGAAGTTCTGTCTCACTTTCATTCCACTGACTTCTGTGGGCCAGTGTATTCTGGGAGCTGCCCATAGGCATGGTGTATCTTTTATGTATGATTTAACATCCACTTAGATCTACAGTTCCTACAGTTTAAAGAGATTACTATAATTCCCTTGAGCCTTAGACAATTTAATTACTGAGAATAGTAGATTAAATGAAGTAAAGGCTTCAAAACATTAGAATATTCTGATTTTTTTTTTTGCAAATTAGCAATTTAATTATTCACTGTTCTAAGACAGCTCCTGCCTACAATTTTATGAGATAAGTAAAGCAGGTATTTCAAAACTAGGTTTTTATTTAAGTGTGTGCTGTCTCAGCCTTTGTTTTCATAATATAGGAGAAAGAAATTGACCAGATACTGAGGGAGCTGGAGAGATGCTCAGCAGTTAAGAGCTTGCAGCCTTAAGTTGTCAGCACCTGTATCAGACATTTACAACTTTCAGTAACTGCCTTCAGGGTCTGATGACCTTGCCTTCCAGAGCCACCAGCTCTCACTCCTTCTCCACAGAAGCAAAAACCAAAACCAATTTATATGTTGATAATGATCAAGAGTAGTAAAATGCTGAGTTGGAGATGTTGTGGATCATATTGGTTAATTGACATTTGATATTTACATACTTTAAAAACTAATATTTTACCTACTCTTTGCAAGTATTTTATGTTGTACACAGACTTCCCTTCTGTTCTCTTGAGATTTTTATAGGCAAGAACAAACTAGCACATAAAATTGCAATTCTGCTAAATTCTGTAAGGGAAAGTCTTGCTGATAGAGTGCCAGTCTGGGTTCAGGAAGGTTTCCTTGAAGAAATGAACTTTGTAGTAGGGGTGGGGTTTCTCTTTCCTCCCCAGGACCTCAGGAGCTGCTCTGTGTGTGTGTGTGTGTGTGTGTGTGTGTGTGTGTGTGTGTGTGTGTGTGAGACAAGGTCTTGGGACTTAGCACACAACATTACTCCTGGCTTTTTGCTGTTGTTAGTGCTAGGGATTGAACTCGGATCCCTATGCTTGCTTGGCAAGCACTTTCAAAACAGAGTCATCTCTTCACCCCTTGAACGGAGATCTAATGATGAGATATGTTTCTGTAGGGTCTTATTGAAGGAGAAACCCAAGGCTTTTATTGACTTTAAAATGCATAGCATAGATCCTTGAGTTTCATCTCACCTCAGAAGGCCAACTATTTTTATTGTGGAAAATATTTTTCAGAGAACAAAAATGGAAGGGAAGGAGGAAAGGGACGTTTTAGAGTTGTCCAGTTGAGAGGTAGTAGTGGATATACAAAGAGGTGAGAGAGGTCTTCAAGAGGTAGGCAATTTAGCAGAATGACGTGCTGAATTTCAGATGTCTTTCCGTATCTGTGAGATCCACATCCTTAAATTTTGCCAATGCAGGGAGTGGTGCATTGCACTGTACTGGCATCCAAACAGTGGAATACACACCCACTTCACTATGTCTAGTATTATTATACAGATGCTTTCATGCATGCAGGAAGATATGTGCAGAGTCTATGCAAATAGTGTGCCATTTTGTATTGGATCTAGGTGAGCACCTGCCACTGAACTCCCCAGTGGACTCCACAAGTGGAGAGAGCTGTCAGGATGTTGAGCTGTGTAGTGATGAGTGTGGTGTGTACTTTGAGCTAGCTGTCTTCTCCAGTCCTGCAGATCAACTTCTAGTGTAGACTCTTATTTTGAGTCTTTTAGTCTTTGAAGTCTCTTCTTTCTTTTCTTTCTTTCTTTTTCTTTTTTTTTTTTTTTTTTTTTTTTTTTTTTTTGACACAGTGGTCTCCAGTTTATCACTGGCTATCCTAGAACTCTCTATGTGGATCAGGCTGGCCTTGAACTCACACAGACCCACATGCTTGTGCTTCTGGAATGCTAGAGTCAAAGCTACCACACAGACCCAATTGGTCCTGTGACACCTGGCCTACCCAGCCCTTTGTGCTGGAATGTAGATGATGGTTCGTTCTAGCTGGCCTCTGCTTAGCTCAAAGTGGTTGTATGTGGGGTATGCCATGTTCTTAGCCACTGAACCAAGCTTCCAGATTTTATTGTTTCTGACCCGAAGCACCTCTATGTCTCACCAGGGTTTCTCCTTTTAAATATCTGAGGCTGAAGAGATGGCTCAGTGACTAAGAGCTCTGTCTTGCTCTTCCAGAGGTCCTGAGTATAACAAGTTTTTTCTCTGTCCTGCCAGCCAGCCCCCCCCCAAAAAAAACTACACAGAAACATATATTAATTAAAAGCTTACCCTATAGCTTAGGCTTGTTCCTGACTAGCTCCTATATCTTAAATTAACTCAAAATTTTTAATCTATGATCTGCCACGTGGCTTTTTACCTTTCTTTTATTCTGTACTTCTGACTTGTTCTGCAACTCCTGTGTACCTAGATTCTTCTTTCTCTCTTTCTCTCCCCAGAAGTCCCACCTATACCTGCTGCCTACCTATTGGTCATTCAGCTCTTTATTAAACCAATCAGAAAGTACCTTGGCAAAGACACATCTTTACAATGTAAACAAATATTCCACAGAATTTCCCCCTTTTTGTCTAATTAAAAAGGAAAGGTTTTAACTTAGTAAAATTATATACAATAAGAACAATTAGGGAAGAATTACATTTACAGTGTTTATCTAATCCATTTG